CCTGGGAATCAGACCCATGCTCCCATCGCCCGGTCTCACTCCCCTTTCCTGAGAGGCTTTGCAATCCTTTCCTTTTCCAGCAGAAGCACGCAAGCCATAAAGGGAACAGGGGCAGGACTGGGGGTCCTCATGTCTGTGAGGGACTACATGATCACCAGCAGCCCATCCTGAGCCAGGTCTTGTGTCACTAAGACGTCCAGACCCATTACAGGGATGTCAGCAAGGTCTCATGAGTGTAAACCTTGTGCAGGTAAAGCCAGGTTGAGGTCCCTTGTCTTTCTTTGTATAAATCCTGTTCTGTTAGGTAAGCCTAAGGCATATATTACAAGCATTCTGCAAGGCAAGCTGTTCAGAGGGATGCTGTGAGGTTCTCTATTTATTTACTGGTTTATGTCCCTGGGGACTGGTAGTAAATAAACAGGGATATTTTTTTTTTAATATTTTTTTATCTCTGGGTGACTGGCTCACATCGAGTTCAGGTTGTTGGAATGTGATTCCTGGCTGCTGGCAGGGTGCATGAGGCAGGGTACGGTTCCTAGTGGGGCGATGTGCCCCGTCGCAGCTGGAGCATTTGTTGGCAATTTCAGCAGAGACTGAAACTTGAATAAGCACTCAGTGTGAGCAAGCTGGCTGTCTTAAGAGTTGCTCACTGCTTGCTGCTGGTGATGCATACTTACGGATAAACTTAGGTGTCTGTTCTTTAGGTAAGCAAAGGCATTAGTAGGCAAGGGATTCCCCTAAGCATCCTTAAATGAAAATCAAATGGACTTAAAAATGCAAGTTTTAGTTGTGCTGTGAGCAGCTTCCTAGGTCTGAGCCATGGATAAAATGATGAAATAAAAATAGTTCAGAATAAAAACAAATCTGGCCCAAAAGACATGGAATGAGGCCCACTACACATTGCTGTTATTTGCATACTACAAGGGAGGACTAATTTATGCAAAAGAGAGAGGAGGAATGAAGAACTGTGTTTTCTGTACTGCAGTATGTTTTTTCAGATACCCCAGTGATCTGGGGTGGGATTTTTGAATGCAGTGGGACTTCATTATCCTCAAATAACGTTAGAGTTCATCCTTTGTTCTGGCAAAAAAATTACATACCTTTTGGAAATTAGAAGCTGTGTGACATGTAAGGATTAAAGCCTACCTTCAGGCAGACTTGAAGGAGTGTCCCCAGGCAAACCCATGTTGCTCGTGCAGCTCCCCTGCCAGCTGGTGCAGTTCCCAAGGACTGGAGAGCTAACCCGGGGAAAAACCAGTCACAGCTTTTGCTGGTCCTGTGAGCTGACCTTGATGGAGACATGCCAGCCCCGGGGAAGTGGTGGGGCTGAGGTGGGGCATGGCAGCGTGGGGGCCTGGGATCGCTCTGTGCATTCTGGCAAGAGGGTCAATGGGCTCAGGCATCCCCTGACCCAGCGCCCCAGGGTTGTACCTCTATGGCATGGGTCCTTCCTTGGGTCCTTCTCCTCCAGGGAGAGCTATTTATGATTGTTTATAGCAGTGATGAGATTGACGCAGCTTCCCATGCCGCTCAGCTGGAGCAGTAGGAGAGGACAGAGGCTAGGAGGCTCCATCGTAAGGTTCCCTTGAGACTGAAGCCCCTTGAGGCCAGCACAGCTTTTGACGTGTTTCTTTTCGTTTGCATAAAATAGCTTCTCGCAAACGCCAACAGCATCGGGAAAAGAGGACACCAATGATAACATCACTATATTCACCAGGATCTTGGATGGTCTGCTGGACGGCTACGACAACCGACTGCGCCCGGGACTGGGAGGTAGGATAACGCTTTCCCTGTGGCCAGTCCCCCGCTATGCGGGACCATCATCTACACGATGCCCTCATGAATGAGTATCTGCTCTTGGCGTGGGCCTTGATGATTGAGTTGTGTTTCATTAGCTAAACGAAGCCCAGAAAGTAGATTTGTCTCCTGGTAAACAGGGCACAACACAAAGTCACTGAAAGTCTTTCAGTCATTGAGGTCATCTGAGGTTGGGTTAGGAGAGCACGTGTGATGCATTTTTTCTGTAATTGAATACAGTTCGGGTTTCTTTTCTTTCTGGTACTCCCTAAGGTGAGCGAGACAGGGTGCTAGCAGGTTGCTGCAAGGTTCCCTCACTGGTCAGCATGTATAAAATTATGCCAGTGACAAAAATCTCTGTTAAAAACAGATCCCCAAATCACCCATTTTTAGACCGCTACAGCAAATCTGTATTGATATGTCATTTTGATAACCTCTACAGCAGCTATTTTAAAACCATAACATGTGAATAGTTGCTTGCCATTGTAACCCTGTTGAGCCCTCCTTCAGCTCTCTATCCCCCAGATTTCTCTCATCTTCTACCCATGTGTAAACCATCTGTTATGTTTCTTCCTGGCCCTTTTTTAATCTGGCTACCCCCACCCCTTCCTCTTGTGAGACCAACACATTGCTTTCATCCCTTTCTCTCCTTCTCCTCTCACTTTACACAGCAATGCTTGAAAATAGGGCTCGACGCTCCTCTCTTATGTAACGAACTTCTGAAATTTCTGCTCTTAAATTAAATTAGTCCTGGATTTGAAAAGATGCCAGAAGGACTTAGAATCTTGAGGGTAAAATTAATTGCACCTAACTTTGGGCATCTATAATATAGATGTCTCAACTGGGGTGGATCACCCAGGCCAGCGGAGAGAAATAGGTCCTTCCAAGACAGATTTCATCTCATCCTACAGTAGGTATCGAATATGACCTGGCAATGTGCGCTCACAGCCCAGAATGCCAAATTGCATCCTGGGCTGCATCAAAAGAAGTGTGGCCAGAAGGTCGAGGGAGGTGATTCTGCGCCCTCTACTCTGCTCTTGTGAGTACTGTGTTCAGCTCTGGGGTCCCCAGCACAGGAAGGACATGGACCTTCCTGAGGGGGTCCAGAGGAGGGCCATAAAGGTGATCAGGGGGCTGGAGCACCTCCCCTATGAGGACAGACTGAGAGAGTTGGGGTGGTTCAGCCTGGAGAAGGGAAGGCTCCAGGGAGACCTTATAGAAGCCTTCCAGTGCTTAAAGGGGAGGGCCTCTATAGCTGCCTTGCAGCACGGGAAAAATGGGGAGGGACTCTGTACCAAGGAGGGTAGTGATAGGACAAGGGGTAACAGTTTTAAACAGAAAGAGGGTAGATTTAGGTTAGATATTAGGAAGAAATTCTTTACTGTGAGGGTGGTGAGGCACTGGAACAGGTTGCCCAGAGAAGTTGTGGATGCCCCATCCCTGGAAGTGTTCAAGGCCAAGATAGATGGGGCTTTGAGCAACCTGGTCTAGTGGGAGGTGTGTTGGAACTAGATGATCTTTAAGGTCCCTTCCAACCAAAACCATTCTACGGTTCTATGATCTATGATCAAAACCCGTCGGTGAGAGGGCCTTGAAGGGCCTGTTTATTGCCAATGATTACAAGAAGAGAGCCTGGGCTCTCTCTGTTGACAACTGCATTTGATCGGGGTGAAATTCGTCTTCAAACATCTTAATTTCAAGCTTTTGGGGATTTCTGAGTGATTCAGAAATTGTTAATGGAGAAACGCATCACAAGCATGTATTTTGCATCTTAAAGCAGTTACTAATGCAGAGCCTATATTTATTACAGAGAGAATAACTCAGGTGAAAACAGACATCTATGTTACCAGTTTCGGTCCTGTGTCAGACACAGAAATGGTAAGTTCGAGTGCATAGCTGGCAACTCCATTGTATTTACTTTGCTAAAGTCATTTTTGGAACCATCGCTTCTATTCAGACCCTGCAATACCTCGACTGTTTCTTTGTGCCAGGAATACACCATTGACGTTTTTTTCCGACAAAGCTGGAAAGACGAAAGGCTGCGATTCAAAGGACCTATGCAACGCCTCCCTCTTAACAACTTGCTCGCCAGCAAGATTTGGACGCCAGACACTTTTTTCCACAATGGCAAGAAGTCCATTGCTCACAACATGACAACGCCAAACAAACTTCTGCGCCTGGAGGATGACGGCACTCTGCTGTATACCATGAGGTAATAACCGGGATCGATTTCTTCTGATGCTGATTCCCAACTAGCTCTGAAAATACTTTTGGGGAGCGTCATGTCCCCCACTCCTAGTAGAGCCAGGCAACCAATCTTTCACACATATTTATGTGAATGTCAAGAAAAATGGAAAATATAATCACTGCCTACAAGTACCAATTAATTTGTAGCTTCTGAATACTGCTAGTGCTTAAATATTTCCTCTGATTAAATGGAAGGCATATTCTCAACAGATTTGATGATTCAGTCCAGCTTTTTTATGAAGATCTGTTCTCTCTTACTGTTCGTATTTGCAGCTGATGGCAGGAGAACTATCTCCAAGGCCAGAAACTGAGATCTTGTTCTGGTGCCGTACATCTTGAACTTCCATTATTATTTTTACCAATTTCACTAATAGTGCTAAAAGGCAAATCAGCATAGGGATAAATGAAACAAGCTAGCAGCACTGTGAAGCAAGTACTTCCCTGAAAACAAAGCTGGCACGTTATATTGGCAGGGAACCAAATAGGTGTCTCAGATCTTCAGGGTTGTGCTCCTCATCTGATTAGAGGATACCGTCAAGCTTCATCATTGCATAACCTAGATATAAGATATAATATTGGTGGTGTTAGAGGATTGTCTGAAATTCTTCTCAGGCCAAATCCCACATCGGTGTATGGCAATTTGCTCATTAAAGGTAATTAGCCTGTAGTAATTAAGACTGTGGTCTGTCTTTGACAGGGTTTTCTCCAAGAGTGTAGTCATACGGACAGCACTTGGAAAAGAGATGAAAGCAAAAACCTCCCCAGCACCAAAGCGTTATACTGAGCTTTTCATGTACAAGCCCAGAGTGGTGCCTGAGACCCAGCAAAGTGCTCGGGAGCCTGAAATTAGGTGCTGAGATGCCCAGGTTTTCAGCAGGCAGCCCTCAGCGAAGGGAGGGGGGAGCTGAGCTCCTGCTGGTGCCCCGTCCCACTGCAGGAACGGCTCTGCCCCGGCCACCCAGTGCCACTCGTTGCGGGGGCGAGCCCCGAGCTCCCTCCGGGGGACCAGTGGTTAAGATTTGTTGGGGCTCAAGGGGATTATGCTTTCATATGCAGGCACCTGGAGCTTCCCAGATTTTATTTCAGGTGTTTCTGACCGGTTTTATTTATTTATTTATTTTGGCCCCTGCCTTAAATCCCTTCTTCTGAAAGGGGAAAAAGATCTAGGAGAAGTAAGGTATCCTTACCTAAGTCCTTACAGCTTCAGACCATCGCAGTTGGAGCTGCACTAGTGCTAAAAAGACTTAGACGCAAGAGAGGTCACATTTAAAAGAAGGGAAAAAAACCCCTAACTTTCTTTTCTGCTATGTGCATTGCTGTTCTTACTAGCCCCAAGTTAGTGATCTCTGCAATAATAAACTGATACAGTGTGAGCATACACTTACATGCTTAAATGAATAGAAGTCAGAATAACTATCAAAGAAACTTATTTTCACAAAAATATTTGTAACTTCAGCCTTAAAACCAGTCTCGCTGCTGCTAAGACTCCAGAGACCGCTGCAGAGGCAGTTCCTGATTATCTGTGGAAGTTACTCTGTAAGTAAAGTCCAGATCCGGCTGGCTCACCGTCAGCCTGGAGCAAAACATTACGTCGCATGGCAGGTTTGCAGCTGGCATGCTATTTCTGTGCGAGCACTGGGGTTTGCAGTGCTAAAGAAATGCAGGGAAGCACCGATTCACGAGGCAGTGAGCTGAGCCACCCAAGGTAGCGGAGCAAGACCTGGGTGAGCGAGACCCAGGTTTGCTTGCCACTGAATCTGAGTTATTCTGTGGAGGAGCCTCTCCTGTGACCATGGCAGAGTATTGCCACATTAGGTGCCACAGGCTATAGGTACATTGAGGAAAAGACAGTGCCCTGCTCAGCACAAGCAGCGGGAGAAAAATTCAGGTTTGACACAGACTTTCTCATCATCCCACTCAGTTCCTTTTCCCTTGGTTTTCACAGGGGAAAAGCTCTTTGGGATTGATTTTTTGTAGGCTACAGAAAGACACAGAATGCTTTTGTAACCTAAAAAACATGCAACATAACTTTTTTTTTTTTTTTGGAAGAGTATTGTGTGTGGGTGTGCATGTGTGTGGAAATAAATTCCCACTAACCATGGTGTATGTGATAAGAAATGGAGTGCAAAGCTTTTAAAATAGCTTGCCTTCCACTATTGCAAGTAATAACTTCAAAAATAAAAGAGTGTCTATGCTATTCTGTTTGAACTCGAGTCAGGAGACTGCTTTTGTAACATGCACCGAGCTGTGCTGCTTTAGGGGTAGCAGCTCTTCGAGATGGGCGATTCAGCAGCGTGAGTGATGCTTGAGGATCCTGTCCCAGCCTGGGCAGGGGTGGCTGGGACATGCAGCCAGCCCTTGCAGTGGCCGCCCAGGCCTTTGCAAGTCCACACGAAGGTAGCAACTCATCAGCACAACCTACCATGGCTTTCTGTGAGCAGATAGGCAGTGCTGGCCTTTTTGAGGGGAGAACCGCTTGTCTCGGTGGCAGCGGTGCTCTGGTTGAAGATACTGGGTCTTAGCTGGGGCTGGAGCCCCCCTCTCCTGTAGCTCTCACCAGGCTTACTCAGTTCTCAGGATCTGGGGATGTGGAGACAACCCTCTGCATTCCCCTCGTTTCCAAGGAGGAATTGCGAGCTTCCCAGACTGTACGTAGGAGTAATCTCTGCGGGGAGGATTGGACCCTCTGTCATTGACGGAGATGCCTGAATTGCTTTTGCAACCTCGCATCTGGCTGCCTGAATGAAGAGGAGGAAAGCAGCCGAGCCGATGCTGACCTTCCGTCTTATTTGACTTCCAAATACACCGAGTACAATCAGCTGAGCAAACTTCCAGCTTTAGCACTTGTCAGTACATACATTTTCATGATATATGTGTTTACGTATAAAACCAAAAGTATTCTTTGCATATTGCATTTGATAGTATCTCGTCTAGGTCAGAAGCTGACGGGGTACGTGTTGCTAGGGAAATCTAATAAATGGGCTTCTGTATACGTGCAGTATTAAAACCCTTCTGCATGAATATAGGAACACAACATGCTCTTTAGACAGATTTCATAAGTAGCAGCGTTCTCTGCAGGGGGCAACTTAAAAATTCTGATCATCTTTGATTTGTTAGGCCCTATTTGTTTTGTTTCGCTAATGTGGTTTACAAATGATGCATTGCTGAACTGAGCATTGCAAATTCTGTTTCTGCCCCTAGAGGGGAGTATTGTCCGTATCTCCACTTTTAAATTATTTTTTTGCTTTTTTTTCAGTAAGAGCACTGTGGTAGCAAATATACTTCATATTTCCCTAATCTGTATAGAAAATAGTTTTGTGAAGGGAGGCAAAAAGTTGATTCTTTCCCTTTCAAAACTTAAAAGATATTTAGTTAATCTTATCTGAGAAATAAATATTGTAAAAAGCATAAAGCTCATTTGTTCCATGTAACTGTTCTGAAAAATGGGGACAGGGGTTTAACCAACCTTTTCAGGCTCAGAGAAGCAAAATGTCTCAGTGAGCTGCATATTTTCACTTAGTGGGAATTGGCTGTAAAGACAGAAGCTCTGACAAACTTTGCTGTCGAATGCCAGAAAAAAGCTGTGAGTCTGCTTTTTTTTTTTTTTTTTTTTTTTTTTTTTTTCCCCAGAACTTGTATGAAGTAGAGCGTGCTCACTTGAGCTAAACCTTCGGAGCGTAACTGAACTTTTGGCCAGCAGTTCATAAGGAATTGTTGAACATTATCTATCAGTTTGTAGATGCTGAAAAATCTTTTTGTGTCATCACAAGGCTCCTTGGAGCCCCACTCTTGCCATCGTTTGGCAAGGACCCCAAGCCACTTTCACTACCACTAGGGCTGTCAGGCATCTGATGTAATTTGAGATTTTAAATACATCTGAAGAGTGTACAAACAGACTTCTCCCCACCTTATTACAGCGACTGAAGGTTGCCCAAGATCCTGAGAGTGTATACGGTTGAATCTGTGCCATTAACCTGCAAATGCATGAATTATCAGCTGGAGACTGCAGGCATTTGTCAGTACGGTGTTTAAGAAACTCTGAAAATTGTAGTACAGCCCTCAAGTACAGTTATCTTTACCACTCCTGGAAAACATTTAAAATTCAGCAATGTGTCAGATGGCTGTCCACCTGATGGCAGCATAACCCCGCTGCTTGCTGTTCTGTAGCAAATACACAGGCTTATCTAGGCTGAAAATACTGCTTCTTACATTAGCATCAAGCATTAAAATTGTATGTGCGAGTGTACACATGTCCTGGGTGCATGTTAGCACAAAGTCTGCTCCTCATTAGCAAGCTAACCATTTTGTGCTGTAGAGCTATTGATTATAAACCCAGTTGACTGGAAGTTACGGTGCTGTTTTCCAGACTTCCATTGGGAAAGCCAGGTTTTTGCGTGCTTAGCTTTTTTTAAGGGAAAGTTATTGTATGAAAAATGTATGGGTTCTCAAGCACTGACTTTGCCAGAAATCAGCCCTTCCCTGAGCAAGGAGTGACCAGCAAAGCCACACTTTAAAATGAACCCATAGTTTTCAATCAGCCAGCCATCTAGATGGGAACGTTTCTGTTCAATTTGCTTATGTTGTTCTTTCAAAGGGAAGATTTCATTTATGCATCCATTTATATTTACAGAAAGGGATCTGGCAATGCTTTTGGGCATTGAATAAATATTACAAAACTAATTAGGAGCTATCAAGCCATACAAATACACATTTCCTTTCCCTGTGTTAGACTTGCTGCATCTTCCTTCATATTCAAGCTTCAAACTGCCTGAAGCTAGAAGGAAAAAAAAATAATTTCTTCACATTGGGCTGAATCTTACAGAGCGATGAAAAGCTGCTGTGGTGGCAAGGACTCTCAGCTGCTTTTTATCAATTCAAATTTTGACAGAGTGAGAGAAAATAGGGATATACGAAGCGAAGGGCCCTTCCCTGAGGATAGCAGCAGGATTCTTGTTTTAACACCAA